AAAAAAAAAAAAAAAAAAAAAAACTCAAAAAACTTTTTGTATTTACACACTAAACCCGTATGCGTATTGTTGTGCATAAACTTGCAGAATTTTATTCAGCCATAAGTTTGCACAAATTTTTATACATAATTGTGTACAAAATGTGGATAATTATGCACACACTTCACATAGATATGTATAAAATTGTGCATAATATTATGCACAACAAAGTGCATTAGGATTTAGTGTGTATACCAGGGAAAAGCAGCGCTGTCATATCGCATGTCAAAACACTCCGTCGACTTTAGAGTTGAGATTGGAACTTGGAAGGGCGACTACTGCTGCGGGTCGCCCGTCTGCGTATCTCGCAGGCCCTTTAGCCGCAGAGCTGCAGCTGCTCTGTCGGCCCCCCCGCCCGCCCAGCTGCGGCCAGCTGCTCGCGTTTGTCGGCTCGTCTCCTCCCCAGCTGCGCCGCGAGGCAAGGACGAGGCTCGGCAATCGTGTCTATTTTCGGTCCATTTATTTGAGCGCGTCCAGGTGGTCATCCTTATCTCGACGTTTGACCCCCCGCGGCGATCTCATTCCTCTCCACTGCAAAAAATACCAGTCAAAATCATCGTGGTTTTGGGGGAAAATTTTAAATTCCGAATTTGATGTTTACAACACTTGTAGGAATTTTTCAACCAGCATTATAATGTGCACGAATCGGTTCCATTTCTATGGACAAAATTGTCCTTTTACTTTTAGAGTGTACGCACGACAAAGCCGGTAATTAACGGAGAACGTCGGGAAAAATGTCATCCCAAATTCCCGAGGATTTTTTTTTCCCGTGCCTCTCTCCCCTCCCTTCAGTTCCTCTTGGATCAGCAGCTGATCGGCTGTGATAAGGGCGGGGGAGCTGCTGCGACAGTCGTATAGAGACGCCGCCGCGGCCAGTGTCGAGCAGCACACGATGCCGGCCGCGCACGAGGACTGGGACCTGCCCGCCGTCCCCCGGGGCGGCGACGACGACCCCGGCAGGGCCGCCCGGAGGGTCCTGGCGGATCGCGGCGGCCCCCGCGAGCAGGTCCTGCAGGCCCTGGCTGAGTGGGTCCGCGAGAAGAAGCTGCCGGAGACTTCGGGTGCGCGTCCCTTGTTTAGACATTATTCAAAACTGTTTCGATTTTTTTAGACAGTCCCCAAGGCCACCGTCGCTGTTTTTAAGACAATCCGTATGAATGTCTCTAGTTTTGTGAGAGGCCCCAAAACTGTGTCGATTTTTTGAGACGGTTCTGAAGACTGTCTCTATTATTTTTCTATTTTGCGGTGCTATTATATTTTTTTGTGAACGCCCATAGACGGCGCGCTCGTCAAGTTCGCCCACAGCTGCGACTACGACCTGGAGCGCTCCAAGAAGTGCGTCAAGAGCTTCTACTCGACGCGCGCCCAGGCGGCGGACCTGTTCTCGGGCTGGGACACGGACCTGCCCAACATCCGCTCCATCCTGGACGTGATGTGAGTTTGGCCGATCGTGTTCCAGAATTGCAGAAAACGTAAAACATAAAGTTAGCTCTTGGCGTACTTACTTTCCTAAATCGTCTGAAAGAACGCGTTATTTTTCTTTTCGTTTTTACAAACGGTTGTGAAAAGGGCCAGGATTATCCACCTAAGCATTGGCTGCTCACACCTGATCGAGGAAGTTTCAAAGACGCCGGACGCTACTCTGATAACACGCTATCAGTTGTTGAAGTGGGTCTATTTTTTTTTCGTCTTGGTGCCTCGCACCTGCCATGGTTCGATGGGAGAATGATCTCGTGGTTGTCGAGGACGTGAGTGTGAGTGTTTCTTAAGTCCCGTCGTCGTAGTATCATCATGACCGATATCACTTTCGGGCGCCGCCATGCGCGCCAAACTGACTGCTCATCACCTGGCAATCGCGGGCGGGAATCACTCTCTGATTCAAAAGCAGCGCGTGTCTGTCTAGTTGTCGGGAAAACAATTAAGCGTTTTCTCCAAATTTCCTTCTGCATTTCTCCGCCCCAGAAGTCCCCTCCCTGCTCAGCGTTATCGGTCGAGCAGAAAGGGTCGCGCCGGGACTGTCACACCGGGGTGCAAGCGCACTCGGCTCTCGGCTGGCCGCGCAAGATAACGCGCGCTTCTCCTCTCAAAGCGTTTGATTTTTGACCCCACTCTTGTCATATGCTATCTGGCGGCATTCCAAATCGCAACCATTCGTCAATCAGCGCAAGCATACCTGCACCCGTCGAAAAATAAAATGCAGCATTTTATGCCACGTGTTTCAAACTTGTGTAATGGTTTGATTTTTTTAAAAGCAGCGTATAGACACAGACACACGCCAAATCGACAAGCGTCTTTCATTTTTATTCGAAACATAATAAAGCGAGAGATATATCGCTTATACTGATGTCATGGCCCTAGTGGTATGGTGTTTGGCAAACAACAGCATCATCGCCATCATGCCCCGCAAGACCCCGGACAACTACCGGGTGGTCGTCAACTCGCTGCACACCCCGGAGACGGACGCGTACGTGTTCGTGGACGTGTGCCGCGTGCTGCTCATGGTCATGGAGAGCGTGTTCCTCTCGGAGCCCACGGTCGACGGCCTGGTGGTGGTGCACGACATGGGCAAGGCCAGCTTCGCGCACTTCATGAAGTTCGGCTGGGCGGTGCCCAAGAAGCTCACTGCGTACACGCAGGTACAAAGCGATTTCAACATCTAAAAGAATTTAAAGTTTATAAAAAAAAAAATTGGAAAAATTTGAAATATTTCAAGAAAAATTTGAAAATAGTGAAACTTCTTAGGGAAAAATTAAGGGATTTTTAAAAAAATTATTGACATATTTAAGTTTAAAAAGAGATCTAGATGTCACTGGAAACGATGATGTATTGCTTATGCTGTTTGTTGGTGATGACATAACGTTGTAGGAGGCGCTGCCGCTGAAGCAGCAGACCATGCACTTGGTCAACTGCTCCGGTTTCATCGACAAAGGCCTTCGGCTGATGTCGCACATCGGCCGCAAGGAGGACTGGGAGCGGGTAAGAGGAGAAGAAGCACGCTGAGCGACCTTCGCAACTTAATAATAATAAAAAAAAAACTTCATTTGCTTTGGTTAAAAAAATGGGTGTATTTTTCACACTGTTGAGAGTCGAGCAAAGTCGAGGGTGCGTGAAGACATCGTGCTTGTTTAAATATTTTTTAGTTTTACTAAAAGCTTGGGAAATGGACAATCCATTTAAACATAGTGTAGTCCTCACTTCTACTTCGGCTGCTTTAGACTTGCGTCATGCGTTTGCTGGCTATGCGAGTCGCACACACTTTGCATACAGCCGTGCGTTATTGCCCCCCTCTTGTGTTGTTTGCCCGTGTCCAGCTGAGCGTCCACAGAGGGGACGACCACACCGAGTTGCACCGGCGGGTGCCGCCCGACTGCCTGCCCTCCGACCTGGGCGGGACGCTGCCCCCGCTCGCCGAGCTGCACGGTACAAACTCTTTTAAGATATCCACCAAAAAAAGAAAAAAAGTTCTACTTCAAAAAATCAACAAAGTCTTGCATTGGTGCCAAGAAAATTAAAATAGTTAAGATTTTTTTTGTGGGTTCAGTTGATTGAACATGACTGTTGCATTGCAGACATGACCGTACGCCGGCTGGCCGCCTTCAAGGATGTCTTCCACCGACTGCTGCCGTAGACGCTACCATTTTTCACCTCATTTTAAGTTTATAATAAATACTTCTCTTTTCTGTTTGAAAAAGAAAGGTTATTTTTTCCCCTTACTCCGCATCCGTAGAACAATTATTGGGAGGGTGGCTGATGATTTTTTTTTTTTTTTGCGTGGACGCAAAAGCGAGGTGCCGGGGAATAAGAGAACTGTCCGACGTTTTCAGACAGCTCTCTTTTTAATCAAAAGTTTCTCTCTCCCTCTCTCTGGCGTCCCGGAAGTAATTTCCGCCAGTTGTCGTCGTGGGACTGGGTGGCGCGTTCCAGCCGTGTGTACTTCCGGCCTCGCTCCCCGCCGGTCAGAGATATGAGATACCTGCAGGGGAGGGGGGATTATTTGCATACAGTCCATTTACATTTGTGTTTACGTTTGACGTTGTGTTCCCTCCTGATGTATAGTGCAGTGTGGGTGGAGAGAGAGTGAGAGAGAGAGACGCAAAGGTAACGTTGTGCCGAGTAAATTACTTTCGCCCCTTGCTTTTGTGGCCGCGGCCGTGCGGGCGCCGCTGGAGAGACGAGACGAACAGAACTGTAAAAATGTTGCAGTCGAAGTAGTATTAGCAGTAGCCGAGCCGGCCCCGACCCCGCCGCACTCTCTTCCTCTTGTTTATCTTGCCACTTCTCCTCCGCTTCGTTCCGCCCCTTCTCTCTCTGTCTCCCCCTCCTCTTTCTGTCTCCCTCGTTCTGTGCGGGGATGGGCCTCTCGCGCGCTTCGGTGTCGTTTCTGCATCATTCACCACGATACGAGGAGGGGGTACGCTGTGGATATTTATCTCCTACCCCCTACCCCCCCTCGTTCCCCCCTCCGTCTCGCCTCCTTTATTGCCCCTTCAACGCCCCCTTTTATTTCTTCGTGTGTGTGTGTGTGCGTGTCCTGGACCCTGCTCCCCCGCAAGAATGGCTGGAACACGTCCTCACCCCCCAAGCAACAGCAGCACCAGCAGCACCAGCTCCTGTTCCACCAGCCCCCCCC